ATCTATAAATTAATATCATTGAATATATGTAAATAAAAATAGATATATATGTGTTAAATAGAATTAAAAATTCTTGTATAATACACCTTTTAATGAAAAAACAAATTAATTCCTAACATTTTGATTCCTGCTCTTCGGAGATGTCAAAACTTCGGTAAAGCATAGAATATTTGAAGTGATTCTGAGGCATTACTTTATGATTTAGACTCCACATGAATCTCAACTGTCATTAAAATTCCCAATCTGCTTGCCACAGCCTTTCCCCTTTCCATCGATTTCTTTTACCATTCTATGTAGGTCGGATTTACGATATTTTCTTAAGTGTACAAAGCAAGTGTATGAAATATACAAAGCTATGAATAACGATCCGCGCGATTCGCGCACGAAGTGAAATCCCGATTCATCATGCGAGTCTTTTTGCAGAAGTAACGTTGTTCGTTGAACAGCTCGTTAGACTGTGGTGGTGCGGTGGTGCAGGAGCATGCGATGTACCCTTAAATCTCGGCACGGGAACGTTTCAGCGCTCGGTCGTAACGAACGGGGTCGACATGCGAACGTATAAACGATCACGTCGGGCCAAAGCACGCCGCGCGTGTTTCCTTAGAATCCCGAAAAGCAGGTTAATGCTCTCACAGCACGAAACAACTTCCTAAAATAATCGTAGACTTCCTCTGTATTACCGCCGATATTCCGGCACATCGCAATATTCTAGGTTCATTCGCACCGTTTAATTTAGGTGATCTTGAACGGTATCGTATGAAAATTCACCATTCTGATAAGGGTGTGTTAATTTTGGAAAGTGCAAGAACTGTTGTACTTCGCTCAGTCGAATTTTATCGATATTAAAACGAACAAATCTTTTATAAAATCTATAATTGAGTTCACATATAATTGAGTCCGTATTATTTTTGATGATGCCATCTAATAATTATTTAGTAATAAACTTTTTTGTAGTAGCAATTTGCGGTATCTGTAAATATATTATTAATAATTAAAGGGGCAAGAAAAATCTTAACGTAATATAATGTTAAGTCTTAAAATTTTTTATTTAGTAAATTGCTTAATTATATTATACAGAAATATTGACTCAAAATAATTTCAGTATATCTTATATATAAAAATATTCCGAAATTCTATTATAAATATTAAGATATATGCTGCGGAAGATATGTCATTCTTTTCATCTACCTTATATTAAATAAAAATTGAAGTTCCTTAAAAAAGATATTAAAAAATTTCACTTTAGATAAGAAAATGGACGACTGAAGTTCGTGAGACAATTTTGCTTTGAGTGTGCTGAAACATTTTTTTCAATTTTATTTGATAAATATGACGAAATTTTTACATCAACGTAATACTTTATAGTTCTTTTTTCTATTTTTCTCAAATATTGTATTCTGTATATTATTGTATATACGTATAACGTTTTAAATATAATTAAATTTGTAGTGCATGGTTGAGTATTATATTATTTGTATTACGAAAGCATTACTTTTATAAATCTTATTAATATACCTACAGTATTTTTCAAAATATAATAATATAACGATATCACTTGTATCGCTTAATAATCGCTTTTTATTTTTTATGTTTTGACAGAAATGTAAGAAATTTATCGCAATTTTTTTAATTTCTCATTATTTCACATTAATCTTTATATAATTAAATCTTAAAATTAAACTTATTAAAATAGAACATCACATTCTATGCTCTCCTTTATGTTCATTTAGAGATTCTATTTTTTACGATCGAATGCATCCGAGATGCATTGTTGTTTCTGAATTTTAATTCGCACGTCGCGATTCTTTATTGTGGAGCTGTCTTGTGTTGCTTTTGTCTTCTTCGAAGCAACAGGTGCGATGCGTAATAACTATAGCCACAATTCTAATAACATATTCGCACTATATTTTAGATGTATAACTTTTTTGTTTAAAAAATTTGATATCGACAGTATCATGAAACATACTTAATCATGCCATGTAAAATTCGTAAATGCCTTGGTAGAAATTTCATGAATTTTTTGAGGAATTTATTGCTTTTTAAACTCTTTAGAATGAATCTAACTCCAAAAGAATGAAATTCACTCCAAACTGTAAAACTAGATAATGACTATAGGCAGATGTTTACGCAAATTTCACATATTTTTATCAGGAAAACTGCTTTAGTCACTGAATAAAACTCTACCAAGTTCTTATCTATTACTTACGCAGTATTATTACAACTAATGAGAAACTATGATACGTTTATAATTCTGTTAGATAACTTTCTGTTAGATTCATCGTATTCAACAATTGTGTTTCTCTAATTATAACAACTTTCAACACCTAGAGTAAGGCATAAATAATTTTATTTATACAAAAATACGAACAATTAATTATAATTGAAAAAAAAATAAAAAAGTGAAGCTTCGCAAAATCCGTTCCACTAATAAATAATTGAATAAACATAAATTATAACTGTGAATACGAAACAGAGATAATTAGATTAAAAATTGAATTAAAATTTTCTACTTTTACTCAGAATAGAAAATTTGAGTTTATCGACTCAATCACTTTTGCTTAATGAAAATTTATATTTGTTTTCGTTTATTGATAAATCATGCATAATTTCTTCCATAACATCTTCTAAAAATTTGAGAAAACTTTAATAATAAAATATATTTTGATTTAATCCTACCCAAATTGTAAAAGTTAATACAAATGGTAATTGTAAAAGTTAATACAGTTAGAGAAATATGACTGTTAAATGCGACGAATATGTTGTCTGATAGAATTATAAATACATAAATATATCCGAACAGAAAAGTGTTCATCCATATGTGTCCATAGATAAGTGGGTGGTCGAGAAAAGAAGTGGAGAATTTCTTAGCGAGTTCGCTGGCCCTAATATTCTTTTTGCCTGATGAGAATTTATGTTTATTTCATTTTATTGTACAAGGGGAAAAGCAAGGTCTCACCTACCTTTTAAAAATTAGATACCCAATTCGAATATATATTTATATTTCAATTATAATCATATTTTTAAATACGAGAAATTATTTATGTCTAGTGTGAAGGCGATATGGCTTGTTTTATTAAATAAAACAAACCATTATTTGATATATAGTATTACATGCCATACATAAAGTGTTGAAGAGATCATTTCCAACTTTTTAATATGTTCCCTTAAAATCACCAATTCACTATGATTGGTCATAAAGCCTCGTGCAAAAAAAACTGAATTGATGATTCACGCTAAATAAATATTTGCCATGATCTATTCCGTAGATTTATCGATCATTACGTTTAGCGGACAGAAACGATGCCTGCGATCTTTATTGAGGCGTCACTAATTAGTGACTATAATGCTAAACGAAAGTAAATGTGATTGATCGTGCATGATGATCTGATATTGGCAAAAAACCGTTCTGTGCGCGCACGTGTGCCCGAATTCACTATCGTATAACTGTTATAAATAAGCATTGATATATATATTGCACAGGAATAAGAGGAGGATATACGAAAGTGGAAGATCCAAAAGAACTTCACCGTGGTGCCTTTGAATTAATTATTTGATGCCGCCTCGTATGAATAATTCAGGTTTCGGCAAACGGGATGAGTCTAGAAGGGAGAAACCTTCACGAGAAGCAGAAGTCGGAAAATGGAATTGCCTTTTGATTTATCACCAGTACAGCCGAGCGAAATGTGTACTTTTTCAATTTTTCCACAAGAAATTCATGCAGCCTCGGATTCTCTGATCTTTTTCCTTCATGTATTTGCAGATAAATAGTGTCTGATAAACAAACTAATTTTCTTCATTCTAAAAAGAAAATAAATTTCTTTTATGCAAAACGGTTTATGATATTATGTGTTTGTATCTCTATTCTGTATTTGTGATCATCTTTTATTCGAAAATTTTTATAATTATTATGCAGGAAACTTATAAAATTCCTTATAGTTAAAAATATTTAAATTATTAACAAATATAATTGCTGAGAAAAACTATGCATTCCAAACCGTGTCAGGATCTTAGGGACAAACTTCATTCGAGAATAGTAAATCTCATCAAAAGAAATAACTTTTGTTAAAGAACTTGTGTCATCTCGCCTTCGACGCATTTTTAAGAAGTCTTGTTTTAACCGGCTGTAAAGTACGCTAAAAAAGTTTACTGAATTTTATTAAAGATTTGTTTGAATAGCACTAACGAAATCTTTACTAAATGTAAGTATATATTTATTTAATTTGAGTATAATTTTTTTTATTTTAAATAAATGTTTATTAACACAAAATTTACTGTAAGCATTGCTTGTGTCTAACAATATTAATCTACGTTTTTGCTTTTTTACCTTTTTGCAAAAACAAAATCAAAGGAACTAGTAGTCAGATGTCACACGCGATCGGACGAAGTAGCTCCTTACAAATGTGTCGAGAGAGGACTCAGATTCCTTAATAAAATGATTCTTTTCGTGAGATCCCCTCAAGTTTGTCTGTAAGATCCTCTAAAACCTATCCAATATATATTTGTATCGCATTTTAATTATTAGACACAAGTTTAAAACTGAACGACAAATAATATTTTCAAATAAACGTGAAAATTGATAATACATACATAAATTCACAATTAAAAATATCAAAATATGAGATATTATATTATATTTAACTCTTCGATGCCACTTCTAGTGTCGCATACCCGAGGTTTCTCTGCTATGTTATAACTTTTTTATTATAATGAAGATATGGTACATACATTTGATTGGTACTATATGTCTTGTTTCTCTGCGTTTTGATTGAAAAAAATTGTTATATCATTCATTTTTATAATATCGTTCATTTTTATGTAATATTTTTTATCCAGTATGATAAGTACGTAACAAAACGCTACAATGGTATCAAAGAGTTAAAACTACAATAATCTAAAAACTAGAGATATCAAAAGAAACGAGGAATTGCAAATTTAATTGGTCACCAGAGAGCTGCGATTTAATTCATGCGATTTTGTTACGTTTTATTAATTCGTTTCAGGATACTTTGGCAAGTATTTGAACAAGTACAACGGCTCGTATATACCACCTGGATGGCGGGAATGGGGCGGTCTTATAATGAACTCCCGCTACTACAACTACAGTGTCAACATGAACGGCAAGAAGATAAAGCACGGCTTCGACTACAGTCGGGACTATTATCCGGATCTGATAGCCAACGACAGCGTGGCTTTCCTTAGGCAGAGCAAACACAATTTCGCCCGGAAGCCGGTAATGTTAGTCGCCAGCTTTCCGGCGCCGCACGGTCCGGAGGACTCGGCGCCGCAATTCTCGCATCTCTTCTTCAACGTCACCACTCATCAGTGAGTACAACAGACTTTCTGACTGTCTATTTCAATTTTTTTGCAAGCGCGACTTTATTCCTGGCGGAGAAACGCACCCGGTACCGAAGACTTTTTTGCAAACCGGTTCCGTTTCTCGATGCCGTTCGCTCGCTGATCAGCGATAAATTCGTGAGACAGCATATGTGTACACATGTCCAATCGTGAACGGAATGTCGTTTTCCGATCGAGAGAATTGTAAATAAACGTATTATGCCGTGGCATCTGCTTCACGAAGGTAATAAGTGCACTTTTATTTGATTTCATTATTCTACTACTTTGATATGAAATTTAATTGAAGCGAAGTTTTGCTATTTGATTGGATTCGATAATATTTGCAGTTTATACAGTATAAATATAGTAGAAATAAAATTACGTTGTTGCGTAAAATAAGAATTAATTAATCCTTTGATTATGAATATTCGCATTTACATGATTGATTGGAAAAGAAATGAAAAACATATGCCATTTGTTTTAAAAGTACAAATCATAATTTGTAACATCCATTCAATTTTAATATTTTAGAGCACAATTTTAAAAATTAAACGTAATAAATTTGTTTAATTAAAGAATTAGCTTCGAAAGTAAAGAGCTTTATTGCAAATCGTGCCACGCGATATTAATCGTGTATTGTGTGCGTGTTTTGCCTTTCTTGCATAATATCTCTTCGCGAGAAACGCACTACACGATCCTTTCTGCTTCATTGTTTTACGTCTATTATTCGTTCTGATTATGCAGTCTTCTCGTTGAGAACTGCTCCCAAGAAGATTTACATCTCTCTTTATCCGATTGCATTTCGCAATTTCTCTTTATCCGATTACACTTTATCCGATGACTTCATCGTTCCATCTTAGAAATAGGATTTAAGCAAACTACACAGAAAGAACGATTTTGCTGAAATATCTGAAAATTTAGATAGATCTGAAAATAATTGTGTTGGACAATCAAAACAATTATGTAGGATATTCAACCATGATGAGCAATACTGCAAAAAGATTTGGCATCCTAGTAACCAGTTTGAGCGTTCGATATTTTCAGATTTATTTTTGATACTTCAGCAAAACTGTTTTTTTCGCGTACAATGATGAAGTCAAGCATCATGTCTTTATGCTATTCGATTTGATGGATACAATCTTTGGGAACTCGGTGGTCTCGACAAAAAAATAACGAGAGTTCCCACGGAGAACAAGCCAAGGGGCAGTTCTGTATGCGGTTGGCATCCTCGACATTATTCCGGGTCGCTTGTCGTCGATATCATGAGCCTCTGGCTCGTTCGAGTCGAAGCTGACATGGACGACCGCAACTTCATCGAACCCAGTCGCGCGCGTCTATTATTTTTCGCTGTTACAAACCGCTCACGTACGACGGGGAACGCGACCCGACAATAAGGATTGTCGCCGTGCGGAAAATACGAGAATGCGAGGGCGACCTCCCCTGGCTCGACGCGACGTCGACGAGCCGGACCCCATCGCGCTTTTCACTCCTTCCGAACAATGCGGCGCGTGTTCCATCCATGTCGGAGGCCGTTAAATTCGCGCGGTTTATCTCCGCCCGCGCGAAAATCCACGTCCGGAATACGAGGGGGTGCGGGGACGGAAGACGCGAGCGATATCGAGCGTCAGTGCGTGTATATGCGGTCCTAGACCGGATAGACATCGCTTCGAATGATGGAGTGCCCTAGACCATCATGAGCGCGCTCTTACGAACCGCGTCGCGCGAGAGAGGTATTATTATACACACACCTGTGTCTGCGGAAAGAGAAAAAAAAAGCGACACAGCGTGTCGCAGAGGCTCGGAACAAAAGTGGAACGATAGCGGATGTGCGAGTTGTTCCTCGATGAGGCTTTATTTGTCATTGTCTAGACGCGATGAAACATTGATCACGCAACAAGAGTAGATCGAAAAATGACCCTTCTGATGACAATTCAGATTCTGATAACGCTTCTCTAAACAATCTACAAAACAGTGTAAGGAATTTAAAGTAATAACCTTCGATCCTTTTGGCAATCTCATTAGAATTCGTTGTACTGTCCAAGTGAAAGAGAAAGAGAAGTATGCAAGCGTTCGCAGCGAGTGATCACTATAATTTAGGTTAGTATTTTAAAATTTCATAAACATGTTTTTATTCCATAATGGAATAAAAACATGTTTATGTGAATGTTTTTATAAAAACATGTTTTTATGAATAAAAAGGAAGGATAACTGAAGGAACACTAGATTACAAGTGTTATTGAAATAATCGTTATCGAAATAATGTGAATACAAATAGATTTAAAATTATGATCGAAATCATTGAACTTGAATTCACTAGACTTTTATTTGAAGGATCATTTAAAGACCATCTATGAAACCCCACATGGGGAGAACGATTTTATTGAAAGATTCAAAAATTTATTGTAAATACAGATCTGAAAATAATTATGTTGGAAACTAAAAAATGATAAGCAATGCTGCAAGAAATTTTGATATTCTAGCAATTAGTTTAAGTTCTCAAATTATTTTTATGGTCCGAAAACTATTTTCAGATCTGTATCCAGCAAAATATTAGATATTTCAGCAAAATCGTTCTTTCCATGCAGTTAACAATGAAGAGGACCTACAGGAACGTGTGCATGCAGAATGCTTACCAGATGATCCATGGAAATCTTGATATTTACGAACGAATGTGCCAGTCATGCGTACATCATATTCAGACATTTATGAAAAATGATGGAGGAGACACTTTGAACATCTCTTGTAAAAAAATATTCACCTGAAGCTTAAATAATGTCATTATTTGGTACTACTGTATTTATGTCCATTATTTCACTAACGGAGCATTTGTGACTTAATGCTCAACATTTGTTCTTCCCTTTTATCCAGAAATATATTCTGTACGAAATTTTAAAACATACTTGTACCTCGCTCTATGTAGACTGATTCTTGTTGTAAACTTTCGCGTGCCGCTACTGTGTGTAAATTTTCAGCACCGAATTTCACGTAATATGAATGTTGAGAAAATAGTAACGTTACAAATGCGTTTGTCTCCTGCCAAGACGAATAAAAGGACTTTTGGTCGCGTGAATGTACATCTGGTGACGGCGTGCGATTCATTACCGGATTTCTAAGACACAAAACAGAGGAAAAAGTCGTTGAAATTTCATCTCGTTTTGCGAAACGAACGAGCTTTGCTCTGGATGATTTATCACACTAGCGCTTGTCTCTCCATCGCTCGTCATCGCGAAGACGTGGAGAACGCGAGAAGTTTGCTTAAGAATTCGTTAATCATGTGTGTGTAGAGCGCTAATTACTTCTAAAGTGGAACATAAGCAGGAAACTTTCAATCTAATACCAGGGACATAAATTATTAATGTTATTACAGCAAAAATTACAATGTACCACTTGAAGAAAAGGAAACATACAGTTTTCTATTTACGTACTTTTGAAAAATTATAATTTTTCAGAAAAGTTTAGATTTTAAGATTCTTTTTATTCCATAACGCTACATTTCCGAGTTCAATATATTTTCTCTTGCGATCCCACAACATGTGTTTGTAAAACTTTATTGTCTGACTCCGATTCTCGATTGTGAAAATTTCCGGCAGGATTGAAAGCGATTGTTCGACGAGTGTCATTCTGAAAATTCTATTTCCCGAAAGTGACTCGTAATACCGAAAACTATCAAATGGAAATTTAGGATTTATTATTCGACACAAAAATCGCTTGAGATGAGACGGGAAATTACATTTGGTTAAATATGCATTGAATGCACCGTGAAAAATACCAGCGAAAGAGTGATCACGAAATATTATCGCGCATGCTTTCGCGAAAATGCTTAACACACCTCGATGTTGCAGATTATATTTAATTACGGCGCGATATTACGGCCATTTACGCGATGATCGCAGAATGTCGACCGACGTTTTAATACCAAGGTTTTCATTCTACGCTCGTATATCACGGCGTTCCCATGTCGTGCCACTCAAAAGCTAATCGACAGAAATTAATGTGTCGAGCGGCATGCACGGCAACGTGCTTTCAGAGCGCTTTTATCGGTGCACCTTTAAGCAATCGCCGGCAGGATATTAATCTAATTCCCTCTCGATCTATAAAGGTGTTAAGTGCATCGTAAGATAATTATTATAAATTAATAATGGGTTTTAATGATAGTTTAATGGTAATATCTTGTCAGAGTAATGTCTATGTTTATGATTACAAAGTTTTTCAACTCGCTAGCAGGATCCTTTTTTTTTCTTTACCAGAAAAAAAGTCTCGAGCATCCATTGCATGTACCTACAAAACATTCAATTTCCTAAATTCGTTCTCTAATTTCATACCAATTTCTTACATGAGATGTCTTACATGAGATGAATTGAAACAATCGCAATTAATTGCAACTGCGAATAAACGTGTTTGTGATCGAAAATGGAAACTTACAAGATCCGTTCATCACAATTGCGTAAATAGACGAGCATGTTAAAAGATTACACACGTTAATTTACAGCCATGGAGTTTAGTTTAACCCCTACGCAACTTCTTGAGCGTTAACTCGCTTGACTCGATGGGTCTTCGAGGCGTCGGATAAAGATAGTTCGATTATTTATGCATATGATTATTATGCATACGCGTGTGCGTAAATGCGTGGGTTAATATCTTCGTTCCGTACAACAAAGAAACCTTGTTCGCAACATTGCGCGTCTTTTTATGCCCCAACACTTTTATGATTATAGATTATATATCAAGCAGAATATTTAAATTAAATTTGGTGAATTCGGAAAAATGATCAAGTTTTGCTAATATAATTCCACAGGATGGAAATTTTTTTCAAAAATTTTGTTTTGATCTAAAAATATTTTGTTTAATAAATTCTTTTTCTTCTTCTTTATTAAGAATGTAAATTGTATTTGTTATAACGGTTTTCGAAATATCTAATATTTTTATAATAATATATTATATGTATAATATTTTTTTATCAAATAAGAAAGAGAGAGAGAGAGAGAGAGAACATGTTTGTTTGCGATGACGTTCTGCATTTATCTAAAATCAGCTTGTACTAAAATGTATTCATTTGTTTGAGGCACACAAAATGATATAAGCTGCATAAGAGTATAAGGTCACTGAACCAATGAGTCTCTTATGTAAATCAATATAGCGTCTTTTTTGTGTTGGATGCTGATTGATCCCTTATGTTATATTTATGCGGCTTATGTCATTTTGTATGTGATGGACTTCAGGCAGAAGTTACGTGATAATTTAATACTAGGTATAATCAATTCGACTATCATTTGCAGGATATTTGTGTTTTATTTCTATTTAATTTGTCTGTGTCATCAAATCATACACTTCTTCTCTAGGCAAAAGAAGGAAGTCGGCGCGGAGACGAACGGAACATAAGAGCGAGAACAAGCAATGACACTCGTCTGGGTGTAAATATAATTCGCGGTGTCTCGCGGACGAGTTAAGTGGTCATGGGGTGAGACGGCGAGCGCAGAATAGGCTACAATTAAGGAGTCAAGTCGAGATAAAACGAGCGGTCCGTATACGTTACACTGTGGAAATAGCATTCTTCGAGGCATTCTCCATTCGAAATTAACGCGATTGTCTTCTTCTTCTTTTTGATTGTAAATTTCCAATTCGCAGGAAATTAGTACATCTTATCCACAGTTTATCTAGATGCAATAAATTATGATAATTTATATACTTCAGGAAATTTTCACATATCTCGACATTAGGATCGATTAATGTATTGTACTTACTATCATTAATCTCGATTGTGTTGCGCATTTCGTATTAAATCACAGTAACACATGGATAAAAATGGATTATATATAATAAATAAGTATAAATTTTATTATATATACAATAAATATATATATATAATAAAAATAGATATTTTCAATATTTATTTTTAAAAATAGTTATTCATCATAAAAATATTGAATTAATGTCGTCTAAAAGAGAATACTTCGAGTTATCTCATATTTTATTCTAATATATTGTGATAATAATAAGTCACATCACATCACGTGAAGTGTATAAGTATATTTATATTCATAGATAACATACATATTTAACCGTTATGTTTCTTTGATGTCAACTTTCACACTCCAGATGGAGTTAGATATAAATAATTTCTTGTATTTAAAAGTACTTATAATTAGTTATAATTAAAAATAGAAATATAAATTTACTAATTACTAACTTTTTGAAATTATCTTTCTTCTATTATCTTTCTAGGGCATTTTTTTGGAAAGTGGGGGGTTGTATTTGCCTCACCAATAAATCGTAAATAATTGAATCAAATAAAGGAAGTGATTATATGCGAAGCCGGTGAACTTCTTCGATCATTCGATAAAACAGGATAACAGAAAGAATTTGACAATTCATTTGATGTCTGGTTTTTACCATGTTATTTTTTTGCATCTACATATGCAACTATATTTATTTCTTTTTTAAAAATTATATGATTCTTTTGACAAAAATGGATTTTTCTCATCATATAAAAATATTGAAGTAAAATCATTCAGAAGAGAATACTTTGAGTTATTTTTTTATATTTTATTCTAAATTTTTAGAAGTATGAGATCTTTTTTAAAGTTTATTCGCGTGTAATATACGAAATAAATATAAATTGTTACGAACATTATTACAAAGATGAGCAATAGAATACAAGCGTAGAGTTAAGATCTATAATATGTATATTCGATCGGTATGTACAACGGAGACCCAAATAACCTTTAACATGTCCTTTATGTCTTTTCATTTCTTTTCATGCTTTTTTTCCTTCTTATGTTTTCTTCAATATGCGTGCAACTAAAGCATTTATGTCTCCGTGCGCTACATACTAAATATTGAAATTTCACATTAACTTGTACGATCTGCTTTATATCAAATTCACTACGTATCTTAAAAATTTAAGTAAATTATAATTATGATTTCACGATTTGTGAGTATAATCTAAATGTATGAAAATATATTTATCTACAGACATATTTGCATAAATTTTCTAATGAAAGTCATTTTTTCTTTAATCAAAATTCTATCATACTTCCAGTATTTTATAGATTCAGTAATTTCTTAATTTTATTAAATATATTGTTTTAAATTAAACATTTCTATTATAAATGAAGTTTCTCTTTGTTTTATTTTTTATGTTATTATAATTACATAAATCATAGGTAGATGTATAAAATCTTGTTCTCTTTTCAAGAATACATTTCAAAAAATTTAGTATATTAACATAGAAACATATACGTAATCGAGAATCTGTTTTCGCTGCATGAAAACCTGTCAATAAAACAAAGATTCTGTGTGATATGAGCACCTCTAAAGAACGTGAAGGAAGGTGAAGGGCCAATTATTCATAATTTCGTGTCTCACGTAATTGGAAGTGGAGAACGAGGCGGCGATGGTTCGTTTCGAACGTCCATCTATAGTCCTCATTCTGCCGTTTCACTGGCGATCCCTCGCTCTGGCCACGAGAGATTAATTCAATTTTGGTCTAGCTATCTAGGATTTCTGGAACAAAACTGTGTTACACGTTCCTAAATCCAGACCGGTTCTTGTTAAGGCCTCGGGACCAACAGATCGCGATTGTAATTAAGGACAGCGGCACGCAACTGCTAAGATTTCGCGACGTAACATGAAATTTGCCACCGGTGGATTTTTTCGCAAAACGAGAAATCGCGTTGAAGGAGATCTTAAGGATTTAAAACCAAAATCGTTAATTATTTTTATATCTTCTCTTTTGGCTATGTAGCTGAAGTAATAAATATATTCTGTTCTAATTATTTTCATATTTTGAATATCATGAAAACCGAATATTGGAAAACTTTGGTGTAACATGATTTCTCTTGCTTTAAGGCATCTTATAAGGGCATTTTACAATATACATATAGCTAGAGCTTCTATAAAGGAAACTTTCGGATATTTCAAAAAAAATAATTAAAACGATAATTTTTTAGCATGACGTTGCAGATTATTTAAGCGATAAATAATTATAAACGTCCTTTGTATTTCGTGTTTCCTAGCACAATATATGTGATTTAATTAATAGATGATAATTTATCGATATCAAAACCAAATCTTTTTATTATTTGTCTTTATATTCTAATACTAATTAATATAAATTATTTATTATTATAGTTATATATTATATACATTTTGAAGTAATAACTATGTTCACGTGAAATATTTCCTCTATTTTTAGAGATTAATAATGTATAAACTATTACATAATTTATACATTATTAATTGCTCGTTAAAAATAGAATCTTGTTCTGACCGAACTCTGTCGGAAAATGTTTCTTCAAATCGTTTTCTCTAATAATCAAAAAGAATTAAATTTTAAATGTGTTTGTAAAATATATAATTATCAAATTATGTTCGCACTTCTGCATTTTAGTACGCCAGCATATGATTATGCACCGAATCCCGACAAACAATGGATACTGCAAGTTACGCAAAAGATGCAGCCCATTCATAAGCAGTTTACAGATCTTTTAATGACAAAACGATTGCAAACCTTGCAGAGCGTCGACGCTGCTGTGGATAGGGTACGCATTATGCTTAACATTTGCGCAGAATTACTTACATAGATTATATTTACACTGAGAAAAAATATACTAAATTTTAGTAAATATTTATTTGAATAGTGCCTAACTAAACATTTACTCCCAGTAAATAAATATTTACTCTATAAAAAGAAACGATAGTTAAATCGAATTGATTGGTTTGTTACTAAATAAGTATATTTTTATATTTAATAAATATTTAGTTTTTTGGCACTATTCAAACAAATGATTTATTAAAATTGAGTATATTTTTTTAGTGTAAAATGTTTGAAATTTAAAAGTGAGAGAATCTAGTTGTATAGTCATATCATCTCTGAAGAACTATCTTTAACGAAAATGCTAGAGTTCAATACGTATTACAATTTATTTTACGACAGATTTATCAAGAATTAAAAGATCTGGGTGAACTAGATAACACGTATATTATTTATACGTCTGATCACGGATATCATTTGGGCCAGTTCGGACTTATAAAAGGCAAGAGCTTCCCGTTCGAATTCGACGTACGAGTGCCATTCCTTATTAGAGGTCCTGGTATCGAACCTGGATCCATGTAAGTATCAATTGCATATTTAATTTTAGGTATTTATGGTTATGAGAATTTGCTCAAAAATGAAATTTTTATTTTTTTAATTAAAAAAAATTTTTTTCTTTAATTTTGAAGTATGAAGAGCTTGAATTATAAGAATTATTCTTGTAGATTATGAAATTGAATTTCGAAAAAGCGGACGATGTCTGAAAGAGCGAATAGCATTGTTATAAAATTATATCGATTCTTCCCCAAAAAATGCTATATATATCCGTATAGAAACGAAATCTTTGAAAATATAAAATAAATTGTGAACTGATAAAAAACGATAGGAACAGATTATATTCCCTATTCTCTGTTATATTTCTATTTATATTTGACGTATATTTTAAATGTGAATTATTATCAAATCAGCCAAATGATTCTTCAAATAATTATTTGAATTCTTTTCTTTTTATTACTTTCTCTTCCCTTAGATAAATTTAATCTGAACTAAACTTAAATCTAAGAAGAAATAAAATTGTTCCTTGTAACAACACTATAATAAAATTTTAACTCTTATAATATCTGTCTAATATATCTCTGAGAGTAAATGAAATAAATATCAAGAGATCGTTAAACGTTCTTTACGTCAAGTAGTTCTGAAAGTACAGCCATATGGCTATAAGAGGTTTATTGGACATATGAAGTTGCGGTGAGGTCATTATAATACTGTTACCCGCGAAACTTTTGCGCGTTGGCTTTCGTTCACGGAAACTCGTTTAAGAACAAAAAACGTCGGAAAGTGTAGGGCCCGATATTGGGTCGCAATAAAACATCCGCATAACATTGCAGAGTAGACGACATAGTTTTGAACATCGATCTGGCGCCGACGTTCCTGGATATCGCCGGCGTTGAGACGCCGCCACAGATGGATGGTCGTTCCTTCAAGAAACTCTTTCTTAAGTGAGTACATTGACAGTTTTTCTTGAGGTTATGCACTTAAATCTTCAAGCTCACCATGTCGTTGCACTTTAATAGCATCTACATGATCAGAAATACACGAAAATTAAATATATAAAATATATTAATATGTAAAGAATGTATATATGTATACTTACACTTTAAATATTTTCTCTCATTTTCTAGCTGATATTACATAGGATGTATCATTACAAAAATCTCATAAAATTGCAAAAATTATTTACTTATTTACTCATATTAACTAAAATTGTAAACTTCGTAGCTATTCAGTAAAATAAATTGTATTTTACTGAAAATGTTCTTGATGAAATATTTTTTAACTGAATTTTTTTTCTAGTGAGATTTTATCTATAGAATATTCAATTATCTTATTTCTTTTTGCTGCTGGAACATAACTGCTTGAATATTAGTACATTGACCTCGAGATCTTGATCATTTAGTACGGCGCGTTATGTCACACACATGATTCCCACGATGAATTCTCAATGTAATAATTTTCAATTGCATGTTAGAGTTTAACGTTCCTAGATACCTAACTTTAATGCGAGTCACGTAACCGGATTTCAGTCCATACTGAGCTAAAATTCCTGTTTTATAACTTCATTAATTTGTCAGAACTTTCTGACTCAGTTAGACGAAGTTACGTTGTTAAAACGCCCTTTTTGCAGTGTGACTTTTTACAGGCTAGCGAGTTAAAATCTCTGTCATGCAGCTCCATTAAATTATTATAACAGTAATAATTCCGTTATCGCGAAGCGCAATATTTTATTCTCAAAGTAAACCTTTCGCGCCGTATCGATCTCGCTTGTGAGTAAAGCCCGTTACAGTAGCAAGCACGGCAGAAGGTCGAAGTTCAAGTGGCCCGACACATTCCTGATCGAGTCCTCTGGCCGCCGTGAAACTCCGGAATCTATCGCTGAATCGAAGGCGCGAGAAGCCAGGAGACAAAATGCCACTCAAGTCAAGCGGCCGTCGAGCTCAACGCCGGAAGGGGAGGATGATGATATTGCTGATCCAGATGCGGATGTCGAAACAGAGCATCGATTCATAGAGAATGACACCGGAAGTGATCAGGATATCTCTGATGACGAGGATTTTGAGGACTCGATGATCGATGAGACGAGTGAGTTTAAATAGAAAAATTTTATTCTACTTCTATTTTCTTTTTTTTAACAGAACCGTATATGATTCTTTGACAAATTGTATTTTTTCGTCATTTAAAAAATACTGAAGTAATTTTGTCTAAAAAAAATACATGAGAGTTATTTCATATTTTATTCTATATATTTCGCGATAATAATAAGATACGTCACCTAAAATGTTTATAATTATATTCATGGATAACATACATATTCACAATCGTGTTTCCTTAATGTCAATTTTCACACTCTAGATGGAATCAAACATAAACAGTTTCTTGTATTTAAAAATACACACAATTGGTTATAATTGGCTGCGTTCAGCAGAGAAAGCAGCTTTGCAACTGTTGTAAAATTCTTCAATTGGTTCTTGTTTTTGGTTCCTTACAGATCTAAATGTATAAACCAATCGTATTGAAGAATTTTACAACAGTTGCAAAATTGCTTTTTCTGTTGAACGCAGCCATTGAAAACAGAATTCAGTCATTTTCTATCAAATCTCTTGTGGTAAAAACCTTCTTTTTGGTTCAATCCAATTTTTGGAAAGTGGAGATGCTCCATCACAATAAATAATAGCAAACATAAATTGTCGCCAGGTAAAGAAAATAATTAGTCGATGAATTTCTTCATTTTTCAATAAAACAGAATATGACAAAAAACCAACAATTAAAAATCAAAATCAGATTATATTAATGTATATTACAATAAAAGGGAATGCACGAGAGTTATTTCATATTTTATTCTAACATATTTTGCGATAATAATAAGATATGTCATATGTCTCAAAAAGTATGTTTATATGTTTATATGGATAACATACATACTCAACAGTCGTGTTTTCCTAATGTCAATTTTTACACTCTAGATAGAGTTAGACATAAATAAAAAGTTTATTGTATTTAAAAATTATGTACAATTGATAATATATATACAATCAAATCATAATCATAATTGTAAATTGATAAAAACGTATAGAAAGAGATTGCATTTTTATTTTTTATTTAATGTATATTAAATGTAAATTAATTTTACTACTATCTCTCATTTTAATTATTAACGGCAATTCTTTGGATACATTTTTCGCGCGGTGTGTGATTATTTTGACAAAACGCTTTTACGTAATATGAAAATTAGATGTATTCTAATCAAATAAATGACCGAGGCTCTGACGATAAAGTACAAATAGATAATAAATTGAATAATTAATTCATAGGACCATTACATTCGTCGGATTATTGAAATTTACGAGTCAATGAGATTGTTCAAATTCCCATTACATTGCAAATTATATTCCCAATATTAAAATTAGTTAATAGTAGCCCAACGGAAATTATCAATTTTTATCCTCTTATTTAAAATCTTATTTTTATTGTTAGAAAAATTAGATTAAAAATTACCAACTATGCATTATAAAACGACTATTGTAAAATGACTGTAGGAATCGTCAAGACAGAGCCCGCGACATTAATCTCACGAAAACTCGGATAGATAGATCCGTTGGTTCGACGACAAGAGCAGATGCTTTGGGTGTACACAACACAGCGTTACATTATAAAACCTACCGTTACGCCAGATGCTGTGCATCGCGTATTACGCGTACACACGCGGAGGAACAAGTTCTTTCCCTGGTATGCATTAGCATAAATACCCGGTCCTTCGGGATCGAGACGGGACGCATCCTTCTTCCTGTTATCCTCCTCTCGAGATTATCGGGAGAGGGTTTTGTCGCGAGGGTATTTTTGGCGATAAACGTGGTGCCAGTAAAAGCAAAACGTACATACGAACATTATCGATGATGATGTTTCTTCAAACGCACAGGAAATCTCGCGATCTCGTGTGGTATTATAAAATCGTATTATAGAATCAAGAACTACTTGGGATGGATTCTTTTTTTTTTAAAGGGAGATTTCCACGTAAGGAAATATACGACATTCGAGTTCTAATTCCCATTTCTACCAATATAGATTAATTTTAATCTCGGTTTAATTTATCTTTTTCTAGTTCTAATATTTCTACCAACGTAGATTAACTTTAATCTCGGTTTAACTCACTTTCTATTTGTCTGTAGTTTTAAGAATTAGAAAAAGATAAAAAGTAAATTAAACTGAGATTAAAGTTAATCTACATTGATAGAAATGGACATAAGTCTGCTTGATCCCAACAGTTCTTTTTTTTTGCTCGCTAGAATCCGCAGTGATATTATCGAGTATTCTTCCTTGTCGTTGAACATCAAGCTTCGAGGAATTAAGCCGAAGTTCTGTTGGTCCGTAATGCTGTGTTGCGTTATGTTTGACTTCATGATGTCTGTTTGCATATGAATATGAAGTCGTCACGTCGATCCCTCTATGGCTCTATTTTCTAGATACTATAAACCACTTCGCATCCGCTTTCATTAGAAATCAGTGATTTCATCCTATATGATCACTTTAGTTTCCTCGTTGAAGCGATATAACAGTTACAGATAATATAAATATTAATCTTTTATCTGTATACAAATATTTGAACGTTACCATATCACAGATACCTAGCATTCCTACGGAAACTTTAGAAATTTTCCATCCGGCAACTTTTTATTTACGTTTTTAGTAGCCTGGAATGTGTTTGCATCCATATACACAGAAAGTTAACAAAACCACGTACAATAAACGAAAACTTGAAAAAATTTTTGAGAAAATAGTCTCGTCGAGATCTTTCTAAAAGTAATTCCCATTTTTCAATTTTACAAACATCTTATAAATACGGATTCGTATATCAAGGAATCTGATGAATGAAATTAATCTGAAAGAGATTTTTCATTGCTGCATCATGCATTTGTGTCTCAGGCTCAGATCCACATCTCGACAATAGGGTGCATCCGATGCACGCGCCCTTTGCGACAAAGCACGAGCGTCTCGCAGCGGAGTGCTCGCGACCAGAAGTGCAGACCGATTGTCTCCCCGGACAGAAGTGGCGATGCGAGAGAGACGGACACCGCTGGCGACGGCACAAGTGCAGATATGCGGCGCCTCCACCGCCGCAAAAGGTTTCCAAGAAGTGCGCTTGCTTCACCCCCAACGGCGTGATCTATACGAGACTCGAGTCCAACGATTACGACGGACAGAGATACGGTTTGACGAAGGACCGCCGGCTTGTGGATCCTTATGACGATACGGGATTCTTCACCAAACGAGGTGATCTAACGTTATTATTGTTTTCATATAATCTATCAAAGAAAAAAATAAAAGCTTCAATAATAAAGATATTCGCTGATAAATTTGAACTTCTTATCCTAACAATTTACATTCTTTTAAATTATTGAAATAATTGTTATGAAATGAATTAAACAAATAATTCAAATAAAAGCTCTAATGAGTAAATCAATAAATCATAATTATACACTTACAACCTGTGTTGGCTCTCAAAAGCTTCTCTTTGTTTTGAAATTAATTAAATTTGAATTAAAACGAATGAAAAATAATTTGATATAGGCAAGCGAGAAATATCGGATGATATCGTATTAGCCGAGGAAAATAATGAAGAGTCTGATAATGACATTGATTTGGATGATAGAGATAGACGCGCGATTGACGAGGAAGATGATGACGATATGATGCAGGAGATTGATATGCTGGCGCGGGAGGTGAACCAAGAATATAAGAAAAATCTTGATAGGTACGAAAGTAATTATTAAATATCGTAGAGTTCGAAAGAGCTTTTTATCGTGAGGTCTCTGTATGACATGCATTTCAGAACCGGCAGTAATACAAGAATTGAGAATTCCGATGAAACTGACGAATTAAACAAATACATTGTCGACTACTTGGATTACGGCTACTCGATAAACGATTTTGATCCCACTTTAGATAAGATTGTTAATGGTCGATTAAACTTGAATGACGTAATAAAAAGGCATCGGAGAGTACGGAGAAACGTGACGAAGAAGGATACTATAGAGCATGTCACGAAGATTATGGAAAGCATTGAAGAAGAACTAGATGACTTGAAGGTAACGTTTGACGAAACGTTGAGTTTATGCTAATATAATTTTATATTACTATAAATATAAGCAATTTATTATTTTAGCAAACTCAAGTTCGTCACTTATCATCCGAAGTAGGAAAATCATTGTCGCCAAAATGTTTGGTTTTACCGGAAGGGGGTGTAAACTGTACCGAAGCCATATATCAAGATCCTAACGAATGGCGAATATCCAGACGGGAGATTGAGCAGCAAATCCGAGAGATGCGAACGCAATTGGAAATGTTGAAAGTAAATTATATAAATATATCTATATATTAATACATTGTTCAATACAATATGATGTATTGTATACGTATATAGTCTTTTAATTAAGTTTTGTGACAACGTCTATGTATTTGCAGGAGATTCGCAGGCACTTAATGATCAAACGACCACAATTTTCGGATAATGAAGAGAAGCTTGCTGACGCAGAAGAAACTCGCAGTTCGCACAAAACCCACCATCATTCTCCGAAGGGACACGCAAGCCGACATCATAAAAAGCACGATAAAATTGCTCATACTACTGCAGATCTTATCACAAACACGACCACGGAGTCTGTTACGAAGATTAATACTACTCCGAGCGATGAAAAACCGTCGACGACAGAAGACAAGCCCGACAAATATAGTTCTATTGAAACTTCTACAACAGAGACTGCAAGTGAAACATCAACGACAATGATTCTAACAACAGTTAAACCGAAGAAACAACCTCGTCGTCAGAAGATTAAGGAGACACCTACGAACAGAACAGAAATCGAAGAGGATAAACCGCAAAGGCGCAGGAAAACGCATCATCGTAAAAACAATACGCTGCTTACGAATAGTGTACACGATGATGTCCCACGCGCGAATACAACGTATGTTACTAGTGATGTGACATTGTCTACGCAAAATCCTACGACTCGCGAGAAACACAATCACAAATTTATGACTGTTCCTGCTACTACGATTACAGAAGCAAGCACTGTGAGGCAAGGAACTCATTATTCAGAAGTATTCAGGAGTAATAACGATTCCAACGAAGATCGTACTACGGAATCGATCGCAGTTACTGAATCTGGATCGACTATAACAATGACGTCGATACATATGACCGAGGTGCCAAAAATTAATCCGGCTATCGACAAAAGTTTCGGTCGACCTCGAAATACATCCATTATATTACCGACTACACCGTCAGTGAAGAGATATCCCAAGGTACAAAAGAACAGGACGACAGGTCTTGGACCAGCGAGGATCGACGTTACTATTCTTGAATCTCCTGATAGAAAACACAAACAAGGTATGAATCTTGATTAATTTTAGTTTCTGTCTTTAAAGATATTTTTCATTATATAATTTTTACTTTAGGTTTAATCAATAACAACGATCGTCTGCCACCGATGCTAAACACTCCCTTAGAAGCACGACATAAATGTTATTGCGAGCCAGATACAAAAAAAGATGAGAAAGAGATCGCTAGGGAAGAAAGACGAAGATTGAAGGAGGAGCGTTTAAAGAAGAAAGAACGAAAACTCAGAAAGAAGGCAAAGCTGGAAAAGGAATGCCTAACGGAAAAAATGAACTGCTTCGAGCATGATAACGATCACTGGCGTACCGCACCTCTGTGGAATGCGGGACCATTTTGCTTTTGCATGAATGCTAATAATAACACGTATTCGTGCATACGTACAATTAACAAGACGCACGATTTCCTTTACTGCGAATTTACTACAGGATTAGTAACATATTATAATTTAAGACTTGGTATGTATGAAAAAAATTTTAAGGAATAATATTTCACGAAAGAATTATTGATATTACTTTCATTTTTTGTCATAGATCCATTTGAACAATGGAATAGAGCGTCATCTTTGACACCAACTGAAAAATCTTATCTGCACGATCAATTGGAACACTTGAAGGGCTGTAAAGGTACATGGGATTGTACAGTCGGTAACGCCAGAGAGGCTATGCCACAACTTCAGCAACACCAACGATATATTTCGAAAAGAAAATATAGTGATGCATTCGGTACGTTTTGTAAAAAATATTTATTTATATGTTAAGTAATAAAAGTCTCATAAATTGTTTTAGCAGAAGATATGTTCGTACCTTCGGCGTTACAAATTATACGCGAAAGCGAACTTGGCAATCTATCTAATAAAAGACGAAAGAAGTTACAAAAGTAGGTGTAGAGGTGTTTCTAAATATTAAAAATAGTTGAATCAAATATGATAATATGAATTTAATATCAATATCATTTTTGTTTTAGCTGGAGTAGGCGTAGTAGAAGCTGGCAAAGTAGCTGGCGACATCAAGATTCAGTGAATCCCCGACGTCATAATTATAGACATCAATACTGATTTATCTTTTCTTTTTTACGCTTCAACAATTTCGTGACAAATTGCCTTAGATATATATTGATTTCGCAATGCATTTAGTAACCTAATTTATTTAGTAATAAATAATGAAGAGACCGAGCTTATATTAGCAGATATTTAAATTAATAACTCAATTTTATTAGATCTTCGTCATCCACATTGTGCATGTTTTCAATACATTTTACGGCGACTGTCAGATTTAATTGTAGAAATGTCATATGCACCGTGTGGAACACATTTATAAATATATAAAATATGTAATTTTTATATGATTTATATACGTTTTATATAATTGGGACTATAAATAATTAAAGACGTAGTTAGGTAATTTTGTTCTATTTCGCAAATGTTTTTTGATAATTTATTCATTTTTTAAAGAAAATGTTTAGTGAGAAAATAATTATATTGTACAAGTAACTTGTCTAATTATAGCTTGAAATTTTTAAGATATACGTCATGAGTAATCACATTTGTTTAAAAATTAATAAATTGAATTTGACAATATTATTATTTTCCTCACTGTTAACACGTCGATATTAATCAATGTCAATATACATTTTCTTATTACACAAGAAGTATTTATTAGAGTATCATTACTGAAATCAGCTGTGTAATAGAAGACTGAACACACAACGAAAAGAATAACTTTATCTTCCCTTGCCAATTACAACCTTTCTGTAATGTATTATTTGTGTAACAATTAGAAATGTTTATCAAATGCTGCCATTTTTTTTAACTCTCCTATTGCCTTTATATGACAAAATGTATACATATCCTTACGTAATGCACTGCCAAAATTTATAAGCATCGATATTCTTGGTATATCATAATATTGATTCTAAAGCAAGAATAGATGATCTAAGCTCTAAGCTTTAGTTGAATTTTTACGATTATTCAAAAACATAAAATTATTGTAATTACAAAATTTTTATTTGGGACTTTGACTCTTTTAATCTAACTATAAGTATCATATTTGTCCTCATATTGTTTTAGCACAGCGATTTTAGTATAGCAAAATGATTATTAGTAACTCATAATATATATTGAGGAAAAGTAGAATGCTGGTATATAATACAACTAGAAAGAAATAAAGATAAATTCATACATATTCTAACATATACAGTCTTCATACGGCTATATAATTGTTTTGCTAATTATTTTTATATGTTATACGAATTTTTTGCTGATATTGCAATAGTTTACAAATTCAAATTGTTTATTTTAGATATATAAGAATTTTTAAATGTATGTAATAACATCTTTCAATCAGCATTCTACCTTTCCTATCTTCTTTGCATTATATCCTAAACAGTTATTTACATTTATTTTTATTAGAAAAGAAATATAACAAAAGAAAACAATGTATTTAAGTCTAGAATTTAGAAAAACAAACATTTTGTCTCTGCGGTATTATTTTCTTTATATAGGAAACACATTATAAATTAAAAAACGTTATTTAGTTACCAAAAATACATGTGTATGTATATAGATAATGAGAAGTAGTAAATAATTTATGCATTTAATTGAAATTGTAGAATATATATTAAAATTTGTGAAAAAAATTTGATATATTTTTTTGAATTTTTTATGTATTAAATTCTGTAATAAAATGTTACTTTTCAGGAAAATGATATATTTAATTCAAATACTGTAGGAGGGGGGAGTTCCTGCAATGTTTTTTTACTAATTTACACAGAAACTATCAATCATTCATGAAAATTAAATATCGATAGGATCATCTAATTCACTATAAGTTTCAAAGATGTTAGCAATATCATTATGATCTTTGTTTGATTTATCGCTATCTTGCAAATTGCATTTATCTTCGATTCTATAATTATAACTTGTAGAACATATCTTCTCCGTTCTATCAACAATATTTTCACTTACAAAATTAAGATCATCTACAATACTTTCAGAATCACATAAATCATTATTTGTAGCATTACATAGAGAGTTCTCATTTGTTATCATATTTTCAGTCTCATGAATACTATCAGGTGAATTTTGTGCATCAGATAGACATTCTTTCTTCGGTGAGTCCAGATATTTTGCCCATTCACTTTCAACAGGTTTATCAACGTTTAATTCTTGAACAGTGTTGGTAGCGTTACAATCATCATTGCTGTTCTCTTGCTGAAGATATAAGGAAAATGATGTGTCATTTGTTTTCAAATAATTCAAATGTTGAACATGAAGACGACAATCTTTGCCAGATCCTTGGAAATATACCTAGAAATAAAACCAATGTGATTTAATATTTAATCACATTGAGAATAAAAATTATAACAAATTGTATTATTTGTTATCCCTAATGAATCTTGAAACATGTACCTACTTTCCGTATGGATTGCTTTGCATTACACAACTTGCACTGCCACTTGCGTGCTTTTTTCACTATATGTACCTATAAAAGTAAAACGAAAGAAATGAAATAGGTTATAACAAACGCTACTATTAATGATATCCAATTTAAGCTTACTTGGTACATTTTGCAAGAATAACAATGTAAAACATTCATATCTTGTGGCATTTCTGAAAATATGTCGTAATTCGAAAACTGAGGAAACTACACAGAGAGCTTCAAATTTAAGTAAGACTATAACCGCCACTCAGGAAATCAGATCTGTTCTCTATAGCTGAATTGGTGTAGGTACACTCGTAGTACTGAAATGAAATAGATATATATTTGAAGTTTGGCGAAAGAGAGATAAGGCCTGTTCTTTTTGGCTGAACTTTTGCACCAGTTCATCTTTCTTCCTTTTCTCTCCGGAAGGAAAGAAGAGGAAGCAAGATGAACCAGTACAAAAAGAATAGGCCTATATAAAATTTTAGTGCACTTCAGTGTAGTGACGCACGCGCGCGCGCGAAAGAACAGGCTAATTTAAAATAATAAATAGGATGGAACGGGATACACGCGAATATGTTCTAAAAGTAAAAATCAATTCTTACTTTATTTTTTTTATATATTATTTTATAAAGTACATATTGAATTAATAATATATTTTATATGTGAGATGTATTATAATACACGTTAAAAAAAATATGACATTTAACAAAATCTGGACATTTAACTATACACAGATATGCTACTAATATTGATGTTCCATATAATTTACTTCAATTCTATTGTACAATTTGGCAGAGCTTCTGTAAGCTCTTTCCTGAGTGAAGCTTTATCTTCCAAGTATGGTATATCAGTAATCTTTAGAGTCTTCAGATTTCTGTAAAAAATAAAAAGAACTCAATATTTGAACTATATACTTTTACAATTTAACAAACATTGAAAATAATATTTTTTTAATATAAATATATGCAGTATAGTAATATAAAATGCTTACTTGAGATTTTTCAAACTGCGCACTCCTTGATCGGTTATACTCTTACAATCTTTGATTTCAAGAATAGTTAGGGTATCCTTCACTGCTGACAATAATGGTAAGGCGGTGTTATATAAATAACGACAACGTATAAGTTTTATCTCGTCGATATACCTGCAACCAACTGAATTTCTATAAATATTACTCTTTATAAATATTACCTATCTAATGACATGACGATATATTTAAGAATTCATTTGATTAGTATATTTAGGCCCAGTTCCACAACTCAGTTAATTCTTAACCGAGGTTCAATTTGTTTCTCATCTCTTTCCAATTCTAGAATTAGAAAAAGACAATGAATAAGTTGAACCTCGGTTAAGAGTTAACTGTGAGTTGTGGAACTGGGCCTTACTGTTCCTGATGAAAAATTTAAATTAATATCTAATTCCAAATTATGTCATATTAATTATATTGCTATTAAACTATTATCAAAGAATTCTCAGTTAAAACGTCTCATTGTCAAGTAATATTGTTAATTTATTATGTATACACATGCATGTTTAATATGACACTAACCCAAGTATGGAAATCCTATATGTGTTATTCCAGAGTCTGTACCATCTATTGCTTGAATATAACCTCGATTTTCATCCGATTGTAATTTATTGTAATCTTTTAAGTGTTCCGAGAAACCTTTCCATCTGACACTGGCACCATTCTTTAAGAGCCACTCAGCACATGCACCATCTGGGCCAATCGACTTAATTCTTTCATAGTCAACCCTCAAAATAATTATTACCTTAAAAGTTGTATATTAGCAAATAATCTAACAATTAATATAATAATGAATTTTGTCGGATACCTGTTAAATATTATGGTTAACCAATAGAAAAATTCTCTGTTAGGCACTTTTCGATAATGATTCGAAATAGTTAATAGTCCGTTTAATGTCTGTAATACATAATATTTATATAATATAACAAAAATAATTACATAATAAATAAATAAGTTCCTACATTTTATATATTATATTATCTTATTATTATAGAAATAAAAAACATGATTCGAGTTATGCATCTTCCAATATGTTATTATATCACATATTGTTTATTTTATATTATACATATATAAAATAAAAAAACAAAATGTGATATAACAAAAATAAGAGAGTTAATCATTATTATATTGATAAATACAAAATGTAATAGTATATCATACGCGTGGCATCATTATGCCTTCAATTATTCTAATCAACTGTACAAGTTGACAACACGCCTGTAAGCACTAGAAGATAAAATTTATTGTGAACAATTGTCAATCAAATTGTTTCCTCGTACCGGATATATGTACTACCAGAGTTAACCAGAGAGAAACCTGAAAGAAGAACGTAGGGTCTTTTTCCTGTAACCGCAAATTGCTGCCGCGCATTACTGCCCTCTGAAGAAGTGGATGTAAACTACACAACAATATCCATTTCTTTTTGCGGTGCTCCTGATGGAAATAAATCATTGAAATCGCTGAAATAACTAAAATCTATCAAATTAATATTCAGATTTCCCTCTGCCTGTATTCACAGTTTTGTGTCTGCTTGTATTCAGATCTTATATTTAAGATCGTCTTAAGTACAGTCTTAAGATGCCATGAACCAATCAGAAAGCCGTATTAGTATCTTGGGACTTAAGATGGCCTTAAAATAAGAACAGACTATGAATACCGGCCTTAATGCCTATTGCATTAAGGTCCTCTTTTTCTCAGCAAACACCTATATTATTTTGGATTTTATTCCGGTTATGATATATATATATATATATATATACACACACTGTTGGCTTTTATTTTGTGGTATGTGTCCACAAAATATATGCGTAACATTGGATTAGAAAAATATTAATTAAAAATTGAAATAATTTAATTAAGTCTAAAAAATATAATAAAGTTAAAAAGTGTTAACTATTAAGAAAAAACGCA